ATACGTATAACCATGACTGAAAATACTTGACAGGCCACCATCTTCCAGTAGGGCTTTATGTAAGGAGAGGACCACCAAATGTGAAGCATGGTGCATATATTAGAACAGTACCTCCAACATGCATTAGTAGATGTGGGAACTATGAGGGCTAGTTTAGACAGTATTAAATAACACCTATATAGAAAGTACCTTAAATGTCCAGATGAGAAGCATATGATGCAAACCCTTTGTGGATTTTAAAAATTTGTGGCAGGGAAAGTTCCTAGCTTTATGCCAGGCATCGACAAACCCAAAGCATCTCTATTCACAAGGTCATAACAAAGAGACAATATTATTCTTGGCGGTATAAACTGTAAATGCACCTTTTCCAGTTTTGTCATGGTAATATCTGCATCCAGTATTACAGAGTTTACCAGTTACGTAGACAAATACTTTAATTGCACTTCGACTTTAATTGCAGATAGGGAAACTATGTTTCAGTTGACAGATTGTACAGGATTGCAGTTTTTCCAAACTGACAAAGTTAGTTAATTAGCTGGAAGCACATGGGACAATGTTGGTCTAAAACAAATATTTAGGGATCCAAAAAATATATTTAATATTTTTACAACTTGCCCAAAAGGATTTAATTCAAAACGCAATAGGGCCAGTGCAGGACAGACATTTCCTTTCCCAGCTTTGATCTGTCTGTGCTAGTTCTTTTTTAAGTTTAATAATATCTTGGGAAAATAAATCTTATAAATTTTTGTAATGTTACTAGCACATTCCACTCTCCAAAAATACACATAAATAATAGTATAAAAATACTATTTAGTAGATAACCCCAAATGAAAAAAGCATGTATTTAATTAAGCATTTTTTCATAGAGGGTTATGTATAAACACAGCTTGCCAAAGCTGAAGATCTCTTGTCCGAAGTCTTTGAAAACCCTTCTCTTCTAACACAGCCCAGACTTTCTGTGACTTTCCAACTATAGAATTCCCAATCCAGCTCAATGATAACTTTTTGCAAGGCAGGAGCTCAGACAAATTGCATAACTTTACATTTAGCTCCACACTGAAGTGGTAGAGGTTAACACAGTACAGGAGTTTAAGCATGCGTGGGATAGGCATAAGGCTATCCTAACCATAAGATAAGGCCAGGGACTAATGAAAGTATTTAGAAAATTGGGCAGACTAGATGGGCCGAATGGTTCTTATCTGCCATCACATTCTATGTTTCTATGTTTCTAAGCTAAACAACCAGGACGTATTAGGACAATTTGTTATAAAAGTGCCAGTTTCTATTGAAATTTACACTTTTTGTAAAATGTAAATAGACACATCATAAATAAACATTTCAGAAAACTGAAGAACTTTTGTTGTCTGTAGTGGTCCATTTATCCCTAGAAAAGTAAGAATCTGATCTCCAGTGAGAATTAAAAAGCTGCTTTCAATTTGAGAAGGTGCCTGTGTCTTAGATACAGGTCAAAAAGTAATATTATTGAGCACAATATTACCGTCGCTTGCATTTTCTTTTACATTAATAACTTTTTATTGCAGTTTACAGATTACAGATATCCCAAACATTAACATTGGGTTGTCGCACCACCTCCAGTGTGCAATATTCACTACAAATAATGCAATTCATCAGGAGTAGATTATTGACTCTTGAAAACAGAGAGTTGGACTAATTATTTTGTTCTCAAATTTTGTAGCAAGTGGAGAAAAGAACTCACAGTAATGGTATTGTTCATACAAGGGTAAATAAATAAAAAAATAGTAAATAAATATAACAGCGAAAACAAAAATACGGAAAGAGAAAAGAAAGAAAAGAATTAAGAAAAGGAAATTTTGTACCTTAGAAACTTCATGCACTGGGACCGAGAGCCCCTCAATAGATTCTTTCAGAAAGAGTCAGGGAAGTTCCCTGGGTAAATACATTTCTTCATATCGCTTAGAACATTTCAACCTTTGGAGGCATTCAAAAAAAAATTCTGACATTTCCATTGTGTAATATGGCTGTTTTATCCACAACTATGATATGCATAGTCAAGCACTTTGCCAGACCTGTACAGTTTGCAGTTCTTTTTTTCACTGTATACAAATTCATGTAAGTTTAGTAGAATCAGCAAAATGTGATATTTGTTGGTTCCAGATAGAGTTGAGCGAACCCGAACCGTGAAGTTCGGGTTCGTACCGAACATTACGGTTTTTGGACTCCGGACCCGAACACGGACATTTCGGTGTATGTTCGGGTTGGAGTTTGGTGTTGGGCGATTTAATGGCACGTTTTGAAAGGCTGCAGGGCAGCCAATCAACAAGCGTTTGACTCGTGTGCCCTTAGAAGCCATCACAGCCATGACTACTAATGGCATGGCTGTGATTGGCAAGAGCAGCATGTGACCAGCCTCTATATATAAGCTGGACTCACGTAGCGCAGCACGTCACATGAGCTCTTATTAGTGTAGGGAGAGGATGCTGCATCTGTGAGGGACAGATTAAGAAAGAATTCTGCAAACTACAGTGATTATTTTTGTGGGGGCTATACTACATTTTTGTACCCTGCCCTGAGCTCAGTGCCGCAGAGAGTGCAGTGCACATGCAACTGCATGTGTGCCAGGCACATTACTTTAATCCTGTTCTGGTAGCTCAGTGGGCAATATCTAGGCATTTTTAAATACTGCTAATTTTTTGGTGCTAAATAGTACATTTGCGTACTGCATTTCTTGCAGTCTAATAAAACCCTTAAATACTACTGTTACATTGTTGGTTTAAAAAATCTAAATTTTTTGTGCTAAATAGAACATTTGCGGCCTGCGGTGCACTTCATTTCTGAGAGTCAAATAGAACCGTCAAATACTGTGGTTACACCTCACTTTGAAAAATTCACATTTCTTTGGTGCTAAAAAGTACATTTGTGGCGTGCACTTCATATCTGAGAGTCAAATAGAACCGTCAAATACTGTGGTTACATTGCAGTTTTAAAAATTCTAATTTATTTGGTGCTAAATAGTACATTTGGGGTGTGCACTTCATATCTGAGAGTCAAATAGAACCGTCATATACTGTGGTTACAGCGCAGTTTTACACATTCAAATTTTTTAGGTGCTAAATAGTGATGTCCCGAACGGTTCGCCGAACGGTTTGCCGAATGGTTCGCCACAAACTGTTCGCCACAAACGGTTCGCCACGGACTCATCATTGAGTAAACTTTGACCCTGTACCTCAAGAGACACATTCCAGCCAATCAGCAGCAGACCCTCCCTCCCAGTCCCTCCCACCTCCTGGACAGCATCCATTTTACATTCATTGTGAAGCTGCATTCTTAGTAAGCTGTCCAGGAGGTGGAAGGGTCTGGGAGGAAGGGTCTGCTGCTGATTGGCTGGAATGTGTCTGCTGACTGTGAGGTACAGGGTCAAAGTTTACTCAATGACATCACTAGTGCTAAATAGTACATTTGGGGCCTGCACTTCATATCTGAGAGTCACATAGAACCATCAAATACTGTGGTTACATCGCACTTTGAAAAATTCCAATTTTTTGGGTGCTAAATAGTACATTTGCGGTGTGCTCTTCATATCTGGTGTATGTGTGCAACACTGGCTAGTTACCGCTTCTCAAGAAAGTCTAAAGGCAAATAAATGAATGCAAGACTGAGACAAATCATTCGGGTTACGTTTGCCTGTTGCCATGTTAATTATCTTAGACCATTAAAATTCAATAATCAATGAAAAAACAAAAAAGTGTCATACAAAAATATGTATTATAGACAAGTTAAAAACAAGACTACAAGTCATGCTATAACAAAATTAAACAAGTTTTAAAATATGTATGGGCCAACCAGTGGCTGTAAAATCAAAGTTTTACTGGTTACATTCATGACTCGGACTCTAGTGTACAGGACCTATAAAATCATACAGCATCCTTTCATGTGCTTTTCAGATGTCATATTGTTAATTACCAATTTTTGTTTAGCCTGATTTTTAAAAAAAAAGTGAAAAATAAGTATTATTGTGATCACTTGATATACAGAAGCATTAATATACATTTCTATATTGTGTAAAGACACAACTACAAAGTTAAAAACCAAACACCAAAACAACGTGCTAGACAATCTACCTGTGCATGGCTAGCGTGATACAATAAGTCTACATCTTAAAAATGCAATAACCCGCAGAATATGGGCGAGACTTTTTTTTTTGCAAATGGAACTTTGATTCGAATTTTCTACATCGGTCACTTGTAATATTGTTTCACACCTACAACACTTGTTAAACAGATCTAAGTGATAGAAAACAGATTGATATTTTCTACACTAAAAACTACCAGATAACAAGCTGCCAGATTTAAACCAGTTATCAATAGCTAAGAGGTACTTAATCAATATTGTAATTCTGGGGCAAAACCCTCACAGGTCAAACTGAGAGGTCAGTTTATAAGGAAAACTGTTGCCTGGATACAATTCTAAAACAATTTCCATATGTCCTTTGCAGACTTTACATGCTGGAAAAACACAGGTGCCAACTGCTGTGACTTTCCGCAGTGTGCAGACCGGCAAGGAGGGCAGTGTTGAGGAGTGGGTGGAAGATGATGTGGAGGATGATGAGGTCCTAGACCCCACATGGAATGAAGGTCATGCAAGTGACATGTGCAGTTTGGCGGAAGAGGCGGTGGTCGCACAGAGGCACCAGCACAGCATAAGAGGGAGCAGGGTGCAAAAGCGGAGCGGCCATGCCCTAGCGCTCATCGGCATGTATTAGCTCTAGAATTACCACAGTTATTCAAGTAACAGATGGAGCCATCAAAGGAACCATAACCGATTTAATGAGCCATTCGCAGTTTCACTGTAGTGGCTGTGCGTGCTTTCGGCATTCTAACCTTGCTGATGCTCGCCTGTCTGCGATGCAGCGTAACTTCGGCCTTCCCGCTCACCGCCTCATATGCGACGTGCCCACAAGGTGGAACTCCACCTTGCACATGCTGGAGAGACTGTGCGAGCAGCAGCAGGCGATAGTAGAGTTTCAGCTGCAGCACGAACGGGCCAGTCACTCTGCACCAGACTTGCCCTCCAAAAGATCCTCTTTAAAGGATTTAAAGTGTACTCATTCCAATTACAGGGCCTCAAAAGAGTCCTATATTGTGTTTTTTCGTCACTACCTCCCCGCGTTGGGAGTGGGTAATTTGCGCGCCTGCTGTCTTCCTTGGATGTGGTAGCCATTTCTCAGGCTCCTTCTCCAGAATCGAACCCTGATTCCCTGTTACCCGTGGTCACCATGGTAGGCGCAGAAAATACCATAGAAAGTTGATAGGGCAGACATCCGAATGCGTCGTCGCCGTCACTGGGACGTGCGATCGGCCCGAGGTTATCTAGAGTCACCAAAGTGCCTGCGCAACGACTGCCGAGTTGCCCACATTCAAACTTGTGCTAATTCCTGGGTGGCCACTTTGCTGGATCCCCATTACAAGGACAACATGCCATCCTTAATTCCCTCACTGGAGCGTGATCGGAAGATGAGCGACTACAAGCGCACGCTGGTAGACGCGCTACTGAGGGCATTCCTAACTGACACCGGGGGCTCAGTGGAAGCACAAGGCAAAGGCAGAGGAGGAGGAAGAGGTCGTCAACGCAGCTGGGGCACCGCCAGCACCTTACAAGGCAGGGTTAGCATGGCTGAAATGTGGAAAAGCTTTGTCAGCACACCACAACAACCAGCACCACCAGCTGATATGGAACGTCTTAGCAGGAAGCAGCATTTCAGCAACATGGTGGAAATGGTACGTGTGCACACACTTCACGTACTGACTGAAGGGTCTGCCCCATTCAACTTCTGGGTCTCCAAATTGGGCACATGGCATGAGCTTGCCCTTTATGCTTTGGAAGTGATGGCCTGCCCTGCAGCCAGTGTATTGTCTGAACGTGTGTTTAGCACAGCAGGGAGCGTTATCACAGACAAGCACAGCCACCTGTCCACAGCCAAAGTGGACAAGCTCACGTTTATTAAAATGAACCAGGCATGGATCCCACCAGACTTGTCTGTACTTTGTACAGAATAGACATTTATACCGGCCTCACCCAACCATTGTTATACTCAAGTGCACTTATTCTTTGTTTTCTTTTTTTATATGTCCCAATATTTTGGGGGCTACCCCAATTAAAAAAACAAACAAAAAAACAGTGTTGGCTACCTCCTCCACTGCCGCTTCCACCTACACCGCCACGGTCACCGCCTCATCTACCTCCTACTCCACATCCACCTCCTTCTCCTAGAGCAGGGTGCAAAAGCGGAGCGGCCATCTCCTAGACAGTATGCCTGCTACTGCCCACCGCACCCAGGGACCGAGCACACCAAAGACAGCTCCAAGGAGTTCCCTGGCGTGTCAGTTCATCAGAAGATGTGCTGACGACAAGACACGAGTGGTTTGCACGCTGTGCCTGAAGCAAGGCATAAATGTTCTAAACCTGAGCACAACCTGCATGACCAGGCATCTACATGCAAAGCACGAGCTGCAGTGGAGTAAGCACCTCAAAAACCAAGAAAGGTCTCAGGCTCCTCCTGCTTCCCCTTCTGCTGCTGTCTAGGCCTCTTCCTTCACCTCTGGAGTGACAGTGGCACCTGCCACCCCGCAAACAGAGGATGTGGCAGCAACGCCACCATGTCCGCCACCGCCTGTCACGGCAAGGGTGTATAATTTATTATGACACTATGGAATATCATCTTTTAATGTGATTTCTTGTAGTAAAGGGCACAAATTACAGAGATGCTATTGCTGAGGTCAACAGGGGTTACATCTTTTGAAGCTGGGACCCCCACAGAGGGCAGATGACAGAAGGGGTAGTGTGAATGGCATAGGAATGTGAAAAGGATTTTACTGTATGGATGTGAAGTCTGCAAGGTGAGAGGTTCTACACTTGGAAAAGTCTGAATGTCTCTTCATCCATTTGGCCTGTATTTTGTAAGTGATGAGTAAATCTCTTTGATATGTAAATGCCATTAGCTTTGTTCTAGTATCATATCCAAAGGAAGGACAAAAACATTCATATTTACCCCCACAGAATAATAATTAAGCCTCATTTTCGTTATATTTGGAATGTGACAAGCGCCATCTTCTAACCAAGTCCAAACATGAGTGGCCTAACTTGACCCTAGGGAAAGGAATTGTGATGTCCGTCCTATTGGATCGTGGGTGGGACGTGCAACATGTCTATAGAATGGGAAAATAATAACAAATTTGTAGATGCAATTATTATTTCTGTGGCAGGTACAAAAAAGAAGATAGAGTCAAATGTTTCCATTTGGATTGACAGTGGTCTGGAACAAAGGAGGTGGTCAGTTATTATTTCTGTAGGTACGCCTTAACTCCACCCCTGGGCAAGACTTGATAAACCACAGGGTATATATCTAATGATCCTGAAGGGTGTTGGTGTACTTGCTTGGGGCCAAGATCTAATTTTGGGTGAGTCACCATCTTTCCTTGCCAGAGACCCCCTGGACAGAAGTTGTACTTTGAAAACCTAAGTGAGTAATTAGGACTTCTGTATTTTATCCTTTTTGTTTTTATCTGTTGTTGGTGTAAATAATTTGTTTATCATATATTTTTATATGCACTGTGACTATCTTTTGCTCATAATAAACATTCATTTATTAAGTTTTGCCTTTGTCTGGTTAAGAATCACGTTACCTGAAGAGACTAGTTAGTATTTTTATAATTCCTTAAATATTGTATTAAGTAATATTTGGTGGGTTTTATTATTGATTTACCTGGGGGACCAAGGCACCCCATTTATAAATTGTCTTGGTGGTGGCAGCGTTAAAGTAGTAATAGTTATATTATTATGTTTAAGTGTGGGTGGTGTTAAAGGGGGATTTTGTCATTATTTCCGGTCTAGTGCAGACAAATAGTGTACTTTAACCCTTTCACCACCACAACTACGTCACGCACACTCTTGGAGTAGGGTGCGTTCGTGACAAATTGGTGGCATAGCGGTGGGATAACTAAAAAGATTTTTCATCTTTTTGTACCAGATTTTAGTGTTGCTGGATTTGTTGGTTAATCCAGGCACTAAAAGAAATTGTGTCTCAATTTCCAAAGGCTGAACTCAGTGCATATATAATATATTTACACCTCAACAGTCCCCCCCCTTCTCTGTTTTTTCTTTTCTATCTTTTATTTACTAAATGGAGTACCAGGCGCAATCCAAGGCAGCGCTAGACCAGCTTTGCCGGGAGAGATCTATTCCCTGTCGGGGAAAAACAAAAGAGGAACTATTGCAAGCACTGGTGGACTATGATATGCAACAAGCAGTGCAAAATGATGCCTCAAACACTGCAGGGGAGATACCTGCAGCTTTTGTCCGTGATGTACCGAGTTCTGGAGATCCTTTGGATTGTTACTTACAAACTGTGTTGAAATATGTGGACTCAGCAGACGCAAACCAAAGACTACAGCTTATCCTTCAATATCAGGAGGCCGCAGAGCGCCAGGCTGCCAGAGAGCATGAGCTAAAAATGGCTGAGTTGGAGAGGTTGACTGCCTCCCCTGTAAGTATTAATTCCAGAGACTCTTCTGCACCCAAACCACGTGCAGAGAACTTTCCAACTTTGGACAAGGATGGTGATTTGGATGTTTTCCTGCGCAGTTTTGAAAAGGTTTGCAGGCAGTACCAGCTACCAAAGGACCAGTGGGCAAAATACCTCACCCCTGGTCTCAGAGGTCCTGCACTGGAAGCATTTGCTGTGCTTCCAGCAGAGTTTGACCAGGACTATGATGCGATTAAGGCTGCCTTGCAAAAACGGTACAACCTTACTCCTGAGGTGTACCGAAAGAAATTCAGAACTTTGCAAAAGCATCCCACAGAAAGTTATGCAGCAGTTGTGGGGCACCTGGCGACAGCATTCCGACAGTGGACTACAGGGCTGGAGATTACCACTTTGGAAAGTTTGCAAGACCTGTTAATAAAAGAACAGTTTTTGCAGCTCTGCCCAGCCGATGTACAGGAATGGTTGCTGGACAGGAACCCCAAAACGACATTGGAGGCGGGTGAGCTGGCAGATTTCCACACTGCCAATCGAGCAACAGTGGACCGGAGCAGAGGTTTTGCCAAGGGAACATCCAGCTGGAGGACCACACCACCACGACTCCCCATCGCCAGGCCTAGCGGGCCATCTTTTGTTTCAGCTCCTACCTCAGGGAGAGGGGGAGCTAGTGCCATGTCTGCGCAAGGAGATAGTCGCAGATGTTTTATTTGCAACCGAATGGGGCACTTGAGTAATACCTGCCCAGAGAAAAGGAGGCCAGCACCCTCATCCGGAGGGGTTCAACCTGCAAGAGCCCCATCTTCTGTGTTGTTCGTGACCAAGTCAGAGGGCAACAACAATGTGAACCTGCAGCCTGTTACAGTGGGAGAGAAGGTAACTGTGGGAATCAGGGACACTGGGGCAGATGTGACTCTTGTGCGTCCAGAGCTAGTGCGCTCTGAGGACTTCATTCCTGGCAGGACTTTAGCCGTAAAGGGGATTGGAGGAATACGTCCTGCAGTGCCAATGGCACGTGTATATTTGGATTGGGGAGCGGGCAGGGGTCTGAGGGATGTGGGGGTATCGGATAATATTCCTACAAATGTATTGCTTGGTACCGACTTAGGTAGGTTGTTATCCCAGTATGTGCCTGAGAGTGATAGGTGTTACGAACTAAAGCCCTGTAGGGGCCCTGCTGTGGAAAGGACAGGGTGCAAATGTTTATGTAAATTACTGTGCTTGGAGTGAGGTCGGAATGTATGTCAGTCTGTGCCAGAGCCCAGGGTGTCTGTGGAATCGTGTAACAAGGTATGTAGACAATTGTGCTGGGAGGGAGGGCAGAGCGAGCATGTGTGCCAGTCTGTGCCAGAACCAGATATGTCTGCAATACGATGTGAGAGTGTGCCAAGACAGAGTCACTGGGAGGGAGGGCAGAGTGAGAGTGTGTATCAGTCTGTGCCAGAACCAAACTTGTCTGGGGTACCCTGTGAGGGTGTGCCAAGTGCAAATCATGGGGAGGGGGAGGCAGAGGTTCCCACTGTAGCTGTGGTAACCCGGCAGCGGTCTTACCCGAATAGGGAGCAGGGCCTGCCGCAGCCCGCAAACCCAGAGCGTATGTCAACAGGAGAGCACCCAGATGGGGGAACCTGGGAGTCTCGCACCTTGTTACCATTCCCTCCTGTAGTCCAGGGGCAGGAATCTGTGTCCGAGCCCCCTATTGACTCAGAGACCGAGGCGCGGTGTCCTGAATTCCAGCAGGCCCAACGGGCAGATCCCACGTTAGAGGTATTGAGGGAACGTGCTAGGCAGCCACACACAGACGGGGATAGGGAGAGAGTGTACTGGGATAATGAAAGGTTATACAGAGAAACCATTCCTACTGTGGGGCAAGAGCCTTGGGTAACAGACAGGCAGCTGGTTGTACCTCAGAGGTACCGGGACCAGCTGCTGAAGATTGCTCACGCCATCCCCATGGCTGGGCACC